ACTGTAGATATTAACCCTATGTATTTGTTTTTTAGCAACAATGTCTAGCAGTAGTAACGACCGGTGGATCCGGGCAGCCATGCCCCTTGAAGAATGGTTTGAGATGGGTCACAAGCATGGAACCTTCTTAGCTTGCTATGTTTTAACGCTGGGTTCTCCTCAGCCCCTCGACCACAACCACGTCAAGCAAGCACTACTTCACTTGTACAGGTAAAATCATTAATTCGGTATATTAAATTTTTTCATATTAGTTTAAATTTAAATTTTCCCCTACATTTAGTACTTTGCCAGACACTACTCGTCCAATTTTCCTTGTTTACTACAGTAATTCTTTTTATTCCTCTGGTGTGGCATAGCACCAGTCTTCAGCTTCCCCATGACTAGAACTGCTAAATCTTTTATTCTTAACCTTTAAGATCTATTAGATTTCCACGAAATCTTCTGCAGTTTTCTTGCAGAAGCTGTCCTTCAGGCCAAATTAACTATTGCCATACAGGTCTTGTGACAGACGTATGGACTTAGCTTCTAAAGTTTTTTTTTCCTTCGTATCAAAGCGAAACACCAGCTTTCCTAGAGTTTACTTAAAATTACATCCTTGTTTCCAGTTAATTTTGCCAAGTTGTTCTGGCAGTGACTTTGCCTACCTCTTGGTGCACTTCTGACTTTCCATGAAATCGGAATCTTCGATGGAAGTTTTAGTTACTCCTGTTTACCCCAAGAAGCTTCCAGATCTCCAGCATAAATTACTTTCGCCTGTTCTTCAGTATGGTCCGAAACATTGTACTAGACAGTTATTATTAGACAATAAATTAACTTTTATTAGACTGCAATTCGTAGAATTCGAATCTCATTACTTTGGAGAAAATTTTCCAAACTAGTACTTTCCGTTTCTCCAGGAAAGTGCCCAGCCTCCGCTTGAGTATGGACACCCGTGACGGAGTCCTCTGGTTCAAGGAGTGTACTCGTGAGACGATAGACTTTGAGGTACGTTTTAAAAAACATTCTTTGGTAGTCAATAGTTATCTCGGTGACCCCCCCCCCCCCAAAAAAAAAAAAAAAAAAAAAAATTTAATCTAGTGCCTCGTCCAGAATAGCAGGGTTATGTAACTTTGGTTTAGTCTTTCTAAAGCATAATACAGCTGAAGCGCGCGCGCCCCACAGAGCCTCAAAACGAAGCATAGTTTAATCTTGAAGTAATTCACTTACTCTTTATTGACTCATTTGCCATGGAGTTCCTAGCTCTCCCCTGACAGTTTCCGGGGTCAACGCCCCCGCGGCCCGGTCCCGTGACCAGCCCTCCTGGTGGATCAACCAGGCTGTTACTGCTGGCTGCACGCAAACCAACGTAAGAGCCACAGCCTGGCTGGTCAGGTACAGACTTTAGGTGCTTGTCCAGTGCCAGCTTGAAGACTGCCAGGGGTCTATTGGTAATCCCCCTTATGTATGCTGGGAGGCAGTTGAACAGTCTCTGGCCCCTGACACTTATTGTATGGTCTCTTAACGCACTAGTGACACCCCTGCTTTTCATTGGGAGATGTTGCATAGTCTGTTAAGTCTTTTCATTTCTTTGAGATTTTCGTTTGAAGTTCAGTACTAGTCCCTCTAGTCATTTTCCAGGTGTATATAATCGTGTATCTCCCGCCTGCGTTCCAGGGAATACAGGTTCAGGAACTTCAAGCGCTCCCAGTAATTGAGGTTTTATCTCCGTTATGCGCGCCGTGAAGGTTCTCTGTAAATTTCCTAGGTCAGCAATTTCACCTGCCTTGAAAGATGTTAGTGTGCAGCAATATTCCAGCCTAGATAGAAAGTGACCTGAAGAGAGTAATCATGGGCTTGGCATCCCTAGTTTTGAACATTCGAGTTATTCATCCTGTCACTTTTCTAGCAGCTGCGATTAAGTTATGGTCCTTTAAGGTGAGATCCTCCTACATGATCACTCCCAGGTCTTTGACGTTAGTGTTTCGCTCTATTTTGTGGCCAGAATTTTTGTACTCTGAAGTTTTAATTTCCTCGTGTTTACCATATCAGAGTAACTGAAGTTTCTCATCGTTGAACTTCATATTGTTTTCTGCAGCCCACTGAAAGATTTGGTCGATGTCCGCCTGGAGCCTTGCAGTGTCTGCAATGGAAGACACTATCATGCAGATTCGAGTGTCATCTGCAAAGGAAGACACGGTCATGTGGCTGACATCCTTGTCTATCAGATATGAAGATGACAAACAAGATGGGAGTACTGTGCCTTGTGGAACAGCTTTTTCACCGTAGCTGCCTCTGACTTTACTGTTGACAACTACAGTGTTCTTTTTGTAAGGAAATTATAGATCCATCTACCAGCTTTTCCTGTTATTCATTTAGCATGCCATTTGTGTGCTAGTGCGCCATGGTCACACTTTACGAGGGCTTTTGCAAAGTCTGTATATATTACATCTGCATTCTTTGTCTTCTAGTGCATCTAGGACCTTGTCTGGGCTTAAGACTTCCACACAACTGTCAAACTTCCCCCCCCCCCCCCCAGTACTTTCTACTTCTATAATTTCCCAGCTGTATAGCCCTTGTCTTGGCGCTTTTTAATTACTATATAATTTCCCAGGCCCCTGTAAGAACTTGTTGGTTTGTATTAACATCAGATGGAATTGGTTACCTGCATTGCTAGTGCAGTGATCTACAATCGGTAAATATAACACTCTGACGCCTCTCCCGACACCTTCATGTCTTTAGCAGAACTAAAAAGACTAGAGCAATAAGGGTCAATAAATATTGGCAACTAGCCACCAGTTGAGTACCTTTCCTCCCATCTGCTCAGTTGGGAGGAAACACCGGGTGAGGGATGGAAAACTGGGAATAGCTCATCAGCACTGTTGAACAGGTTTCTTTGTACCTGTTAACCTAGTAAGTAGGAAGAGATGCTTCCTGACAGTATTAAAGAACAATTTGAAAACCCCATTTCCTGTAACTTATGGGGTTACTAATCATGGTAAAAATCTAGGCTAAAGGTTTCTACCCTAGTAAGAGCATACACAACTACACTAACTTGTGTTAAGGGCTATTATTGAGCCAGCACATGGTTTGCACAGCTGTTTTATTACGGGATGCTGAGGAAGGTGGAGAGGTTCTTTAACATTTGGGAATTTTGCTTTCTCTTGTGATTCTTGAAAGTTCATTTTTCTTAACTTTTATTGCCAGAAACTCGTGCATAGCAATCTTTCAATTAAATTTCTTCCTTCAGTTAGTACTCGGTGTTAGATTAGTACACAGAGGCTATCAGTTGACTAGCCATCTTTATATTAGTGCTAATTTTATTTTCTTTTTTTTTTATTTCAGGTGGTGACAGATTGTGACCTAGACAATGTTGTATCCCATCTTAGGACGTATCGATACAACTGTAAACTAGGTCCCATGTGGTGTGCTAGGTTCCTCCCTGCAGCCTCTGCCACTGTTGCCGGAGAATCTGAAGCTGCAGTTGCTACTACTGATTCTATCTCTGGCGTTCCCCCTGATGGATCCACTTCCCATTCTGATACTTTACCTGATACTAGCAAACGCGAGGACAAGATGTTGGATACAGCTGCTGAAGCAAAAGCCAGTGCTGCTAAACGGGAGGCCACTGGTGCTATTCCCCGTGCGGCTCCTTGCAGTGGCTTGTCATCCCCGCCCTCCATGGCTTTGCTTTCCTCTGCTCTCAGTAGGTCTGACTTTTCCTTTGCCCGTTGCACTGCTACACCTTCTACAGAATCTCCACCTTTAGGAGTTGCTCCTCCTCCCTCTCCAGACTTTCCAAATGGCCTTGCATCTTCTCAACCTCCTTCCTCTGAAGGATCTCTGAAATCTTCATCCAAGTCTTCAGAGTCTATCTCTTTGCCTTCTTTTCCATCATCCGCAGCATCTTCAGTTTCATTACCATCAGTCAGTTCGGCATCAACACCACCCTCTTCCTTGTCCGCATTATCTTCTGCCTTCTCCTCTGAAACTGACTTCAACTTGCCAAAGACTGACACCACCGGTACATCCTGTCGATCCTTGTTACCAGGCTATTCATCGAGGTCATTACCTGAAAGCAATTTGGACCAGTCTTCACAAACTGGCGCTCGTTGTGCTAGATCAGAGTTTACTTCAGTTTCTGACAAACGTCCTAAATCGGCACCAGTGTGTCTACTACCAGATGCTCAGTCTACAAGATCTCCACGGTGTCCGCTTTGCGTTGGCTCTACACAGCATGACTGTAACCTTCAAACATCCACACAGGATCCCTCTACCCTTCCTCTTGCTGAAGAACTGTGGACGTTGTGGCCTTCTAAAAGCCACCTGGTTCTTGGTATACACCATGGTACTGCTGATGGGTTCACTGCTCTAAAGATTTGTGGGTTCTTTCTACAGCTGCTGAATGATATCATAGCTGGCACACCCATTAATGATGATCAGCTTGCAGAGTTTGTCGCCGGTGAAACTTTTAAATTAATATCGGCGAAGAAAGTGGTACACAAAGTAACCCCTCACCGAAACCCCCATTGGAAAGAAAGAAATCTGAATTGGAAGTCTTCTTCAAAGGGTCAGATGACCAGTCACTTTACTTAACTCGAGTCTTAGACCAGTCTACTACGAAGTTGCTAAAAGAAAAGTGTTGTATGGAGGGTGTCTCTCTGTATTCGGCCTTCTGCGCTCTAGCTACTGTCACTTTCGTAGACTTCCTAGTGGCTAAGAATGTAATTCGTGAGAAGTACTGCGTGTCCAGTAAACACAGCATCAACATGAGACGATATTGGAGCGGTGATTCATCTCTTGCTTTTGGCTGTCACATAGAATCGATCAA